ATTTGGAAATTTAGAAATTTGAACATTTGTATGTTTGAAGATTAAGAAATTTGCAAAATTGAACATTTAAAAATTTCATAATTTGAAAATTTATAAATTTGAACATTTGTATATTTGAAGATTTAGATATTTTTAAAATTGAACATTTAAAAATTTCATAATTTGAGAATTTACAAATATGAACATCTGTATATTTGAAGATTTTTCAATTTTTAAAATTGAACATTTAAAAATTTCATAATTTGAGAATTTACAAATATGAACATCTGTATATTTGAAGATTTTTCAATTTTTAAAATTGAACATTTAAAAATTTCATAATTTGAGAATTTACAAATATGAACATCTGTATATTTGAAGATTTTTCAATTTTTAAAATTGAACATTTAAAAATTTCATAATTTGAGAATTTACAAATATGAACATCTGTATATTTGAAGATTTTTCAATTTTTAAAATTGAACATTTAAAAATTTCATAATTTGAGAATTTACAAATATGAACATCTGTATATTTGAAGATTTTTCAATTTTTAAAATTGAACATTTAAAAATTTCATAATTTGAGAATTTACAAATATGAACATCTGTATATTTGAAGATTTAAAAATTTTTTAAATTGAACACCTAAAAATTTCATAATTTGAGAATTTACAAATTTGAACATCTGTATATTTGAAGTTATAAATTTAAAAAATTGAACATTAAAAAATTCCAAAAATTGAGGACCTAAAAACTTGAAAAACTAAAAATTGACAAATTTGCAAACCTAAAAGTTTGAAACGGAAAAAATCATAAAGTTTGCACAGTTGTTATCAGAGGCTAGGCTGCATCCGAGTGTACAGGAAGGACATACCACCTGAACTGGCACTCCCTTTCGCAGTTCCTAGCATTCCCTTCGGTCCGAGGAAGCTTCATAACGTATTCCCGACTTGTCGACAGTCGGGAACGTAAACATACCGCGCACCTGCGGAAAGCCAATGTGCTCGCGAGACGAAGATTGCATTGCTAGGCTCGACCAATTAGAAGCTCAATTACGGGGTGTATATCAGTTTTCGTTATGTACGAGTTTCACTTCGACACGACGTTAAACAGCTGCAGAGAGACGCTCGTTTCCTGACAGCGCTCCTCTTCTTCAGCCACGTGCGTGTTCAAAAATGAGACTAACCGAGGTCTTTAGTACTCTGTAGATAACGAAATCGTCAGGTACCTCTTTTCGTTCAAATATTTTACTTCGTTAGTTTTTTACTCCATCGATTTTACTCCAACGGACAATTAATTCGGAAATTAAATAAAAATTATTCGAAATAAATATTTATATCGACAATATCTCAGGACATGTATTACAAGGATCTTGGTACATAAATTCAAGGTTCCGTAAATAAATACTGAGTACTAGTCACTGGTTGATTAAATTAAACCTAACTGTACTTCGGCAAAGTTCAAAACTTTCCACCATCACAAACAATAATGTACAATGACTCTGAGTCACCTAAGCAAAATTCTGATTCCCTTTTCGTGTTTCCAAGAGCCTTTTTCATCCCCGAATTTGCCCTCGTTCTCTCTCTTTCGCCTTGAAACAGCTGCGTGTACAGAAGGAAAGAGAGAGAGAGAAGGTGACCCTGTCTCGTAATAAAGTACAATGGGAGGTTATGGAACGATATGGCGAGTATACGCGACGTATAGTAAACATATGCGAAACGCAGATGGTGAACCTTATCGTTACCATTATATGTCCGCCCTTGGCTACAGATATACTTGTATTTTTATCGTTACATTGTTTCTTAATCGATTTACAGGCTTGAATTACGAGGCTCAGCAATTAGGGGCAGATGAGCTAGGTGTGTTAATTGGGAAGTCGGTAACTGCTCGTTTCCGGGGATGAAATCTTTGTGGTGGATTCTTGGAAGGTTGGTAGGTTTTTTGGGTTTTTTAGAGGTGTGATAGTTGGAAATTTGAGAATTTGGGAATTTGGAGATTGGAGAGTTGGAGAGTTGGAGAGTTGGAGAGTTGGAGAGTTGGAGAGTTGGAGATTTGAGGATTTGGGGATTTGGAGAATTTGGGATTTGGAGAATTGGGGATTTGGAGAGGTGGGGATTTGGAGAGTTGGGGATTGAAGAGTTGGGGATTTGAAGAGTTGGGGATTTGGAGAATTGGGGATTTGGAGAATTGGGGATTTGGAGAATTTGGGATTTGGAGAATTTGGGATTTGGAGAGTTGGGGATTTGAAGAGTTGGGGATTTGGAGAATTGGGGATTTGGAAATTTGGGGATTGGAGAGTTGGGGTTTTGGAGAATTGGGGATTTGGAAATTTGGGGATTGGAGAGTTGGGGATTTGGAGAGTTGGGGATTTGGAGAGTTGGGAATTTGAAGAGTTGGGGATTGGAAGAGTTGGGGATTTGGAGAATTGGGGATTTGGAGAGTTGGGGATTTGGAAATTTGGGGATTGGAAAGTTGGGGATTTGGAGAATTGGGAATTTAGAGAATTGGAGATTTGAAGAATTGGGAATTTAGAGAATTTGGGATTTGGGAGTTTGGGAGTTTAGGAGTTTGGAAATTTGGGAATTTGGGATTTAGGGAATTGGAGAATTGAAAAATTAAAGATTTGAGGATTTGGGGGCTTGGCAATATTGGAATTTGTAGCTGTAAGGCTTAAAAATATTGGAATTTGAAAATTTAGTAGTTTGGAAACATTAGTTTGAATCTGTAAAAGTTTAGAAATATTGAAATTTGAAGATGTCAAGATTTAGTAACATTATAATTTAAAAATGTATGAATTTACAAACATTAGACTTCATGACTGCAGGGATTAGAAAGTTTGAAAACATAGAAATATTCAATTTTGTGTCCATAAAAATATAAAACTTCACAAATTTGAAGATCTGTAATTTAAAAAATTTAAACACCTAATAAATTGAGCTCCAGCATACTCTCCCTCCCTCCAAAATTTTCCATCCAAAACCCCAATATCCCCATCCATTCCAAACAACCCACCCAAAACTCTTACTAAAATTTCGTAATTGCTACCAAGTCTCGAAAAATTCCAGAACGTTTTATCAACAATGACGAAATGTGAGCAAACGATCTCGGAACAGTATTCAACTGTTCAAATAATGAAACTGTGTAGTTTCGGTCCAAGAGGCGGTAGTGTAGGTACGCAGCGAGCTCTGGCGGAACAAAAGGGTCAAATGAGCGGCGTTTGGCGGAGGCTCGCACGATATGGCCGCGTGCACCGGAAACGTAGGCTAGTTGAAACAGTAAACATAACGAGCCGGGACCGTTGCGTTCGAATCGTATGCGTGGTAAGCACGTAATACACGCTTGCTTGCATACTTCGTCTCCAGTTGACCGACTATCGCGGCAAATTACATCATCTTGCGAACATAGACTCCACACTGCTTCAAATATAAATACGTTAGACCGTGCAACCGAGACGGTTCTTTAATTAAGCTTGACGACTGATGATTGTGTAACATGAACTGTGGAATGGAATTTTCTTCCTTTTTTACTTTTATTCTCTTCATTTCTTCTGCTGGAAATTTAGAGACGTTCATATATGATAATGGAAAAGTTTTTTTATCTTTGCACCCCTTCATTTCTTTTACCTGCTCTTTATAAAATAGATGAAGAAAATTCTTAATGAAATTGCTTGAAATAGATGAAGAAAGTTTTCAATAAAATTGCAACAATGTGGAGTATGTAAAAAATCTTTCATTTATTATAAGTAATAAATGAATGAAAATATATTCAGCCAATTTTGTTATCTCAATTATAAGATAAATTTAATAAAATTAATAATAGATTTAATTACACACTCTTTGACTTATGTAATTGTACCAATAATTAATATTTTAATAATTTGTGTAAGCAAGAAGTAAATTAGTTACGTCTGTTATAAGTTTCGTAGGCAAAGATGTTTAACAAATGTTGAGAAGCAATAAAGAATTTTGGTACAGTTTGGTATATAATAAGAGAGAGAGTTTGAGGGGGTGAGAATGAATAACGATGATTTGCGGAGGACAGGAAATCCTTGAAAACGAAGAAGGAACAAACAACTCGTAACCGCAAAAACTGACACTCGCCAGACTGTGGTCAAGATTGGCTCTTGGTCGGAGGTTTCGGGGCAAGGGTGAGGAACAAAGGGGTAGCGAGAGTAGTTGATAGTTCTTCGACAAAGAAGAGGAAGAAACGCGTTGAACGGACGGTGGTCAGCCATCCGTGATTTCCCGTCTTCGCTTTTACGCAAAAAATGCTATATCCGTTACACGTTCGTACGATCCATCTTCTTGCGACTTCCGATTGCGTGGACATCCATCTTCCGCCATCTTGGAGTCCCCGGCAAAAATATTTCGATCGATCAGGGACTTCAAGAAGTAGAACATTTAAAAATTAGAAAATGTAAAAATGTAAAAACGTGAAAACGTAAAAACTTAAAAATGTAAAAACGTAAAAATGTAAAAATGTAAAAATGTAAAAATGTAAAAATGTAAAAATGTAAAAATGTAAAAATGTAAAAATACAAAAACGTAAAAACGTAAAAATGTAAAAATATCAAATGTAAAAATGCAAAAATGTAAAAATATCAAAATGTAAAAATGTAAAAGCGTAAAAATGTAAAAATATCAAATGTAAAAATGTAAAAATGTAAAAATATCAAATGTAAAAACGTAAAAACGTAAAAATGTAAAAATGTAAAAATATAAAAATATCAAATGTAAAAACGTAAAAACATAAAAATGTAAAAATATCAAATGTAAAAATGTAAAAATGTAAAAATGTAAAAATGTAAAAATTTAAAAATATGAAAGCAACCTAAGATAAAAATAAAAAAATTGCAAAATGTAGCAGTATAAAAATGATCAACTTTTTCAAAGAAATCTGAAAATGAAATTGAGAAATCGCAGACTGCAGCGCGATTTGAACGAATGCAAATGTTCTGTTTTATGGTTAACAATTTGCAGCGAAGGCACTGAAGGACAACGTTCTCTTTGTGTTTTTTAGATCGCGGTCTGGGTACGATTCTAGCAGTGGCGGAGAGTCAGACGGAGAGTACAGTGCCAGCGTCTGTCGTGGGACCAGTAATCAGTCTCAGAATCCAACCTCGTCGAACAGTCATGGGCAGGGAAAGCACATAAACAAAGGAAGGTGGACCAAAGAGGAGGTAATAAAACAACGAAGGCCGATTACAGTGCCATTCAAAACTTTCGAATCACTTGCTGACTTCTAAAATCAAATGTCTCAATAAATTCTGTGCTCCGTCAAGTACCATCATTAATACTCCTTCATTAACTACCATAAACCTAATAAAAACAGGTGCAATTTAGAAATATAAAAAATTATAAAAATTAAAAAATTTATTAAATAAAAAATGTAGACTTTTCAGTGTAGATATAGATGTAGGTTTAACAGAAAATGTAGATATTGAAAGAACTTGAAAGAATATAAATAATAATTTGAAGATTTATATTCCAATTTTTGGAAAGTCATAAAATGAAAAAATATAAAATGTTATAAAATGAAAAAATATAAAATGTTATAAGATGTCAAAGTTGTTTAATAAAAATGAGATACCTCGATAAAAGTCTTCCTAAGGTAAAAGTCTCTGCTTAAAACTTTTGTCAGAAATGGTCAGTCTGATAAGAACTTTGCACCCCATCGTCCCCTTTCTCTCCAGCTGAGCATTTCAGAGAATGCACACGTGATCGCGTCATCATACCGTGACTTTGATCGGATGTAACTCGAAGGGAGGGATGAGGAGGATACAATGAGCATACGACTAAAAAAAAAAAGGTCCACCCTTCGTACCTTCCACAACGAGTTACGTCCGCGGGCAGATGCCCTCGACCACCCCATAGTCATATGCCGCTCTAAGAGTATAGGGTGCGCCGTATGCTTTCCCGTGGGAAACATCACACAGCCCTATCGATCCCTTGCATTTGTTACCGTGTCCTTTCTCTCCTTTTCACTCTGATGTAATTGCCAAATGAGAAAAAAGAATACTTTGAACATTCACGAAATATTACACCCTTTCTTCTTTTCTAGTTCAATGCGTTTCGTGATACGTATTTTGTATTAAATTTATGACATATGGCTGCAATTGCTTTTGGGGTTATTTAGTTCTCTTCAGGAATTTGAAAACCTTTCTACATTTGGGAAGTTAGTTGTTAGGTAGTTAGTTGTTTGAAGAGGTTTTCAATTTTTAATTGCGAAGATTTGGGATTTAGATTTAGGAATTGTGCAATTTTCTAATTCTTAAATTTTCAAGTTCCCCCAATATCTCGACTTCCCATATTCTCAAATCTTTAAACTCTCAGATCCATGAATACTCACATTTCTGACTTTTTAATCCTCTAATTTCTCAAATCCTCAAATTTGCAAACCCTGAATTCTCAAATCCCTAAGTTCTCACATTCCTAAGTTCTTAAATCTCCAAATTCTCAAACCTACAAATTTTCAAATTTCCGAATTCTCAACCCCCCCAATTCTCACATCGCTGAGTTCTCAAACCTCCAAATTCTCAAGCCCCCAAATTTTCAACCTCCAAATTCTCACATTCCTAAATTCTCAAACCCCCAAATTCTCAAACCTCCAAATTCTCAACCCCCCAAATTCTCACATCGCTGAATTCTCAAACCTCCAAATTCTCAAACCCCTAAATTTTCAACCTCCAAATTCTCACATTCCTAAATTCTCAAACCCCCAAATTCTCAAATTTCCAAATTCTCAAACCTCCAAATTCTCAACCCCCCAAATTCTCACATTCCTAAATTCTCACATTCTTAAATTCTCACATCCCTAAATTCTCAAACCCCTAAATTCTCAAATTCTTAACTTCCCACATTCCTAAATTCTCAAACCCTCAAATTCCCCCATCCCCAAATTCCCAAATCCCAAATCCCCAAATCGTAAAACCAAATAAATTGCTTCCCGCGTCCCAACATTTCCCCAAACATTTTTCTTGCTAATTTGAATGTCCCCGTGAAAGACCAACTGACACACATCGACCGGAAGCGCGCACTTAACCGAATTTCGTGCAAGTAGTACAAGTGTTTTTCGTAATCGATCAATATTCGTCTCCTCGTGAAGGCACCTGCTTCCGAACGGGGTCATACTTGTCAGAGCGACGCTGCATCGCGTGTTCACGAGTTCATTTATAAAGTTTCGGTGGGAATTTTGTTCCAGGACGCTCTGTTGAAGCAGTTAGTGAGCAACGCGGAACAACAGGGTACTTCGGGGCCTCGATGGGACACCATTGCAAGCCACTTCCCAGACCGGAGCGACGTGCAATGCCAACAGAGATGGGCAAAGGTCGTGAATCCGGAGCTGGTCAAGGGACCGTGGACGAAAGAGGTACTTTGGTCCACCAAAATTTTGCACAGAAGTTATTTTTACAGTGACATTTCATTAATGAAGTCAGACATAAAGTCACATTTCTCTGTGAAGGATGCTAGGATTTGGATGTACCTACTGTTTAGGTTTCTGACTTGAGGTATAACTTGCGGCACTTAAGAATGGATGTCTAAACTTCCTTTTACAGTATGTTTGATTTACATGTCAAAGGTGGATGTTTTTGAATCTCTTCAAGTGGCCCTTGAAGCTCAAGAGGATGTTCTCTATGTATTTCAAATGATTCAAAGTACCGTGTACTCTTCACTAAATGGACTTCAAGAATCGAGAGCAAACTTTCTTTATTTTTTTCTATCTGACTGTTGTAGATGACCGATGTTATTCTTTCACTCCTGTTAAAAATGTGAAGGTTATGCTTTCCGCCTTAACTGCAGTCCCATTTCTTTGTACTCCATCAGGCTCATCTCGCGATGAACAGTATCATCCATCTCCAGCATCCAAAACGAAACCTTGTACATAAAGGTGTAGTAATTTGCTGTCGATATTATCTCGCAAGACGTGGGAATATAACAGCAAAGTCAGCTCGCAAGTTGACAATATTTAAGCGCGGAGGAATTGAAGTCAGAATGTTGCACCTCCTCGGTGAAACTCGTTTTGGTAACAAGTCGAACGTGTCCAGTCTGGCAGAGAAATTCACGAAGCCCCGTTGCTCCTCATTTCCCCGAAGTTCCGGCAGGCTGAAAAAGCGGATTACTCGGCTGATGATTCGAGAGGATTCGAGGTTGGTTCCCTTTTGGCGAAAGCTCTCTCCCGCGGTGTGGAAGGTTTGAGTTCATAACGGCATGGCACGGCCCTGCTCCTCTCTCGCACGCCTACACGTAGCCAGGGCAGAAAACGAACGGCCCACGGCCGACTCGGTGGGGTATGCAATAAGAAATAAAGAAGCTGAGGAGCCGCGGAGATGCTGCGTCGTCGTCGTGCCAATGCACTTGGCAACAGCCAAGGGCAAGTAAAGTCTCTCTGTCGGTGCACCAAGAGAACGCGTACGAGCGGTCACGGATACGCGTCGGTGTGCACCTGATTTCGTGGTATGAGAACGCAAAGCCCAACCGCGTCCTCGTTTGCCCACCTATCTCCTCTTTCGTTCGACGCGACCGATCATCTACGTGTCTCTCCTCTTACCTTTGCGCCGTTTCCACGCGAGCTTAAGCATTACCCGCCTTCGAGAAATTACTGGAACCACTTTTCAGAACTCGGACTTCGATGCTCTTCACTCGAGGTTCTTTCATGAATCCGCATAATTTTACGTGTACTGCTTTTGACCGTGGATAGTACCGGTAATTTTTAAGTTAGGTTAGGTAGGGGGATGTTTAGACGGTCGGAGTTGAGGGGTTTCCTCCGAGACATTCACTTAGGTTGTGGGAAAGGTTTCGAATGTGCTAACTAGCGATTGCCTTCCTATACCTCTATCGATTAACAAATTCAGGATGTTAGTATTGTAAATCAGAGCACATAAGATTCTTTGATTATTTGACTTCTAGGTTAGAGTTAACTTAGACTCCAACTTTAATATTTGTATTCTAACCTAAAATATCTTAACTTCAGGACTTTCCAGCACCCCAACTTAAATTCCAACTTCTATTTAATATTCCAACTTACAATACCCCAACATAGACTATTTAGTATTCCAATCTACAGTACCTTAACTTCAACTTCATCTATTTAGTATTCTAACCTGGAATATCGTAAATTAGACTCCATATTCGAATAATATTGTCACCTAAGATGTCCTGACTTAAATTCCAATTTGGAATGTTTAGTGGACCGTGGTAGTTGAAATAATGAATATTCTGTGTATCCAGTATAGGCTTTCTCAGTGAATTTTAGTGAGGGCCTTCTACCTGCTTTACGAAGACTAGGTACTACGACCCTTCCCATTGTTTCTTCTTTTTTTGCGAGTGTCTCTCTTGGCAGACCTGGTCTGTGTCTGCAGAGAATACTTTTATGACCCATGGGCCTTTCTTTTGTGCCTTGTTTTAGTAGCATTCTAAATGCCGAATTATAGCAGAATTTTGATATTTTATTAAAGTTCCATATTCACACGTTGCAACCTTCTGCACGTGTTAATTTACCACCCGTACATTGAGTATGCGTTGACAACCGCAAGTGGAAATAAATTCTAAAGTGGTCATTGGCACGCCACACTATCGCTCCGCCTTGAAGTCCTTGACACAGGAAAATACCGAGCATCCATTCAAAGAAACAGAATTAAAAACCTGTGTTGTATACAGTATTATTTAATGTATAAAATAAAAATAAGTCTGATACTTTATTAATGAAAGTACCTGTACCCGTAAATGCCTGCAAAGCTGTGATTGCCGATGTTCACAGGAGGACGAAAAAGTGGTAGAATTAGTGGAGCGATACGGACCAAAGAAGTGGACGTTAATCGCGCGACATCTGAAGGGTCGCATCGGTAAGCAGTGTCGAGAACGATGGCACAATCACCTGAATCCGGGGATCAAGAAAACCGCGTGGACAGAGGCGGAGGACAGGATAATCGTGGAGGCTCATCGCAGGGTGGGTAACCAGTGGGCGAAGATCGCAAAATTACTGCCAGGCAGGACTGACAATGCCATCAAGAACCACTGGAACAGCACCATGAGAAGAAAGTACGAGACTGAGGAGGGGAGATCCACCACCGGGACCAGAGGTCTTTATCTTCTCTTAAAAAATAAAATAACCCTGCAGCGGTTGCTCGCTGCACGGTTAAATAATTCTAGAAGAGTTAGACTGATTATAATGATTACATTGATGTGTTCTATAGGGAGAGGTAGGAGGAAAGCCATAGAATCTATGACGTCGAAGGATTCATTATGTACAGAAGACGATATCTCGAACCGTCTGAAAGCAGCGTCGACAAGTAACGAGAACGCTACTACGGTGACCAGTGTGCAGACGCACGCGATGGACATGGACCAGCTGGATTGGACCAGAGCTTGGGACAACCAACAGAATGGTCAAACTTATCAGGGTCTCCTCGGTTTGAACGATCGTACACACAGCAACGAATCCCGTCTGGACTCCCCTTCAAAGAGAGGGACCTCCTCTTCTAGAGTTAAGACTGAATCAATCTCAACGTTCACTAAGTATGTTCGCAAAAGTTTTCAAAGATCAGATATGAAGCTGAAGAACACAGATTGCATCGATACGTTTATTTTTGTAGGTATTTTGACTTGCAAATACAAGGTGAAGCGACCAGTTCGAAGAGCTCAGAAATTAGGTTAATGCCTATGCCGGACCTGGAAGAGATTTCGAGTAGCGTAACGGAGAAAGAGAGAAGCAGTCCACCCCCTATTCTACGTCGACGTAGAAACACTCAGACTCTTCAGCAGAGAACGGAGACCCCCGACAGCGGAAGCCAGTCGGAATACTTGATCATAAGTCAGCAACCAGAAGAGCAGCCTGGCGATAATACTCCGTCCACTCCTATTAAACAACTGCCATTTAGTCCATCGCAATTCCTGAACAGTCTGAGCCCTGAGACTTCTACCTGGCCAAGGGCGAGTACTCCCAAGGGGAGCAGCCCTGGTCCGCTCACCACGCCACAACCTTCCGGTCTTCGGCGAAGTCAGAATGGTACATTTTATTTTTGACAGTCAGAAATGAAATAGAGAGATGCCAGTGAAGTAGAGAGTAAAAGTCCGTTTATTTGTAGATGGCAACACGCCGAGGACCCCAACGCCGTTCAAAAATGCCCTCGCGGAATTGGAACGGCGCAGCGGCGCGACTACTCAGTTACCTGCTACTCCCAGTCGTCTCGACGCTCTAACCGAGATCATCAAACAGGAAACGGATCGTGAAAGTCTAGCAGGGACTAGTACCATCCTTCAGGACTCTGGTTACAGCACGATACGACGACGGGGTAAGGAGAACAGCGCTCCCGGTGGAAAGAGGGCGCGCAAGGCTCTCTGTCAAGCCTGGGCGAACGCTTCTCAGGATAATTCCGAAATGAGTTTCGTTGTAGAAACACCCGTAAGTAGAAATCAATTTTTATTGTCATAGAATGTCTTACAAAACACGAGTGCTCGTTGGACAACAATGGACACTTGGGTTTTGCAAGATAATAAATGAAAACTTTTTTTTTAACGTTGTGCTCTTTTTATTTACAGAGTAAAAGTTTGGACACATCGGTATTGTTCTCACCAGCATCCATGGCGTTGGAGGATAGTTTCTTAACAGCAGGGACTAGTCCCGTGAAGGTAGAGAATAACCATGTCCATAATCAGAATCAGATTCAATCTCAACCCGCCCTATCCTGGTTTTATTCCCGTACCAATCGCCTTTAGACACGCTAGCCGGCCTTTCTTTTTTTATTTTAACTTTCTGTTATTTAACATCGTCTCTTTTTTTTTCTTTCCTTTGTTTAGTAATTTTAATCACGTTGCCTGCATCGTAACAAGGTTACACGCCTCGTTGCTTCTGTTTCTTTTTGTTTTATCCTCTTCCTCTTCTCTCTTTTTTAATTTATTACTAAATCATGGTTTAAACGCCATCGTTAAACTCTATCGTCGCCTGGTATCGTTGAATCCAAAGATTATTAGCGTCCCCTCCCCTTAAACATCCCCTTATAATTGTAAGCGTATAAAATAACATAACTAACATTAACGACGTAAAATATCGTTTGACCTATATATATATATACGATTAATTTATTTTAAAGACGCGTATGCTTTTTCCTGTTAAATTATTTATGTATCTAATACGTTGATGCTTGAAGCCGTTAAGTGTAACTTACGATTCCGGTGAAAGAATCCGGAACATTCCGCGTTATTTAATTATTATTATTTAGTCGCAGAGGTAGTGGACTCGTTAAAGAAACCCATAAGATGTACTTAACTTATTAATTTTGCGTGTATCATGTTTTTTTTATACATATATATTTCGTCGTTCATCATTCTTCTATTACATTCGAAAGATTCGTACTGTTCGTCTCGAACGAAAAATCACGATGTTGTTTCCGATGTTGTGGCTACAGTCGATTTTTGTTTCGTTTTTGTTTGCTTCGTTCTTGATCTTCGTCTTATCGATTTCGCTGACAATATTAGACTCGTATTATTGTCTTCATTTGTCTTTTTTGTTGATGTTTTATTATTTTCGTGTAAATTATTCGTGTATATTTGTAACCAGTTTAGGGACGAAGTGAACTGGAAGCATCCACTTTTTTTAACTTAATATTTGTTACTATCAAAGATGGTAATATTCGAGTGCAACATGGGCAAGTGATACACAACGATTTTGTTCAATCTTTGGTATAATATTTTTTAGAATAATGATATTTAAAGATATTTGACACACATTAAATTATACCAGAGTTTGTAAAAGATCGATGTGATTTATCTTGCATCCCTCGTAAAAGGAATCAATGTTGCCTGAACTGTTGTCGATGCTTTCTAACAGCAAAGTGTCTATAATTTATTGCGCAGGATTGATCCTGTTAATGTACATACAATGTAAAGAAGTTGAAGAGAAAAACCATAGATTATAAAAGTGCTGTAAAAACCATTGATCGTATACCAAATTGTTTACAGTCTCACTTCTGTGTCCCTAGTTTTCTAACTAATTGCAGTACCAAACGAAAGAAATGGATCACCGGTGATCCATGCGGTTACGGAACGCGTTAACATTTACGCTTGAACATACGTTCGAAAATATCCCCGTGACTCCTTCGTCCTTCGAGTGGTTCTCGAATCCCTTATAATTATGTATGTATATATATACACAAGAATATAGCGTCTATTTATTACTAAATTAATATATATGTATACATATATATATTTTGTTTTAATTCCTTCGATAATAACGTTGAGTTGCCGCATGTTTACAACTAACTCGAACGTAAAAATGCCTTTGTACAGGCCTGGCCTAGCGTACCAAAGTATATCCTTCCCATCCCAGCCCTGATTCTTCGAAGTCGACTTCCAAAGACAATTGTGCGGCGGCTCCAGTGGTCGCGAGATATATGTTTCTTTAAACACGTCACAGAAATGCGAAAAAGGCCTAGTCATTCCACGAGACGTAGTTCGCTAGCATGCGTGTGAAAACGTACCCCAGTGAGAAAAAGACAACGCGTAAGGACAAGCCGACGCGCGGTCTCGTTATCCTTTCGAGTAAGCTCCCATAACCGTTCTGTTTCTCTCTCTAACTACACTTCCTTTCTCTCTACTTCCCTCTCTTTTTGTTTCGAGTCTCGATTGAGACGTTCGAAACGAGTGGCGGTAATTTGAACACATGTTTTTTTCGAACGAACGTTTATCTTGAATAGGCATTTTTCTAAGTACGTTCTCTTGATTGCCGGCTGTAGCTAGTGTGTCTATCCTTTCCAGACCTCCCACGACTTCGCGTCCGTTCAACGGAAGCCTAACGCCAAGAGAGCGATCACGTTCGACGCGTTCGACAGTCCCTGTTGTATCCTCAGCCCTTTGCCGCTCAGGCCGGTTAAACGAGCCAAGGTAAGTTCTTTTTCGTCTCTTTTATTTTAATTACTTAAGCTAAAGATTTGATAGACCATTTGTGGTAAATTTAGAAATTGAGAACTTGGAGATTTGGTCGCATTATGTATTAAAAAAACCTGTTGAATTGCAAAGGTTATTGTACCTGAAATTCTCTGCTCTCAGACCCCGGATATTTAATATTCGCGTGTCAAATTTCCATTCGCATTCTGGGTAGTTCAGTTTTCACGTCCCCGAGAGACATCTGTTGCAATATATCATGTTTCGCGTTTAAATCGGTGTTAAATGGTGCTTGTAAAACGAGTAACTAATTTTCTAGCTCTTTGCGTGTAAGAGACACCTCTAACGTGAGGTCCCCTACCGCAGTTCCCTACAGCATCGCCATGTTCCTTAAGGAAGCGAATCGAGTAGATTTATTTTTGTTGCAGCTTCATTTGGAGGCGCAATGGACGACAGTCGCTTGCGGACGCACGCGTGATCAATTGGAGATGACACAGGCTGCCCGACGATTCCTCAGCAGCCATGGATACCTACCGTTGCGTCCTCGTTCTCTGAACTTTTAACAAGCCCTCTTTTCTGCAACCGTAGGAATCCGGTCGCACTACGTGGTACAAAAAATGCGACATTAAACTAGTCGTGATTGAAACTAATGCGGCGCTTCCGTTTAAGGAATATGGCCTTTTTTTCTATCAGATCTATCGGACCAGATTAAGAAAGAAGAAAGATAAATGTATTAGGAAATTTTACAAGTCATGCGAGTGGTACGCGTTGCGCGTTGGAACATCTTCGCGAATGATGTAAATGTGAATAGTATCCGGATGTACCAACGCGCAACTGGTACGACCAGTTGAATCTCTCTTTAAAAGTAAAAACCACGGTGCAACCGAAATTGCATCTTAAAAAGGAGAGGAAATGTCACGCTTTACAGGATTTTGTTCGTAGACGCGAATGAACCGCGGAAAAGAAACGAAAGCAAAAGACACTTCTGCCTTTTTCGTGGATGATAGGAAGTTGCTACGTAGCGAGATGTACATTCGATAAGGAAACTATTAAAAAGCCAAGTCGTAAACCGTGCACGCTCCTGATAACGTGTACAAATATTAAATACGTTCGATCACGAATAAATACTTTTTTATGGTACGGGAGAGGCAAAGTTTACGCCGGACAAATTCGCGTGTTGATCATGATGATATAAGTTTTATTTTGTACGTCGAAGTCACTCGCGATACAGTAGCGACCTCTTATCATCGCACTTTGTAAGAGCATTAAAAGAAAAAAAGAGTTTAAATAATAATAGCCGGTTTATTTGATACAATAGTATATATTATATAATATAAAACAAAAGCATTATTGCGGCCGTTATGTACAAAGAGCCTTTGTAACTGGTATTTAATTTACAACTGAATAATAAAGACGTGATGATAATCACACCAAAAAAGGTAACGTTGTGAACGTCCTTTCGAATTCTGTATTACAATTCATTTAAGGTGCCACCAGCCTCTAAATGAAATTACCAGAGGCTGATAATCAGTGACAAAGTGGGGTCACGCGTCAATTTTCACATCATTTATACTCGCGAGCCAATAATACTCAATTAAACGTGCTAATATATCAACACGATAATGAACGATAGCTCAAATATTCGTGCAATCGTACGTTAGCATGTTACACGAATCCTGGAATGCCATGGAATGGACAAAAGATACAAGTGCTTATATAGAGAGGTGTACCAGATCCCGAATTCGGCTGAGATCGGAATTCGGGACTTTGAAAATTCGATCTTTTGCTATACGCCTGACCTCGGTTCACAATTTACAAATTTTGAAATCTATAAAGTTTCAACTTTAGATTTTTCAGCCGATCAGTGCGCGTAAATTAGATCTTGTCGAATTCTGCCCGAAGTTTTCCGATCCAGTTAGAGTTTTTGGGACTCAAGATCCGCACACCTCTTAAATGTTCGTCACCAGTTAATACGCTTATTACTCAACAGTGGAAAAGCTCGATCAACAGTCAATATGTTCCATGATCATTGAAGTATACTGAAAGCGTCTAACAATTGTTTTATTTGAGCTTGAAACGCAGTTCTGTTTCATTCGAGAACGTCTCCTCTGCAACTTTGTCGCTCGAAGACGCGCATTTGCGTTGTACCGAGTGTCAAATTATGTTATTATCTAAAAAGTATACTTTACAAGATCAGCTAATAATACGAACTGGACTCGAATAGTTATGAGCGAATTGGCGAGCGTAACGTAAATCTAAGACTCCTTCTATACACGCGTTTGTTGCGTATACTTAAATGTCATTATGGAATGCACCAGGGTTCTTGACGAAACCTCGGCAAATTAAAAATTACGTTATAATATTAAATATGAAGTTACCAATTATAATTGCATTCTTTCTAGTTTGACCTCTTTTCTTATTCACTTATTTTTAACATTAACCCACATCTGAGTATAATGTGCTCACTTAACCGCTTAGTTATTTGATAATTTTAAACGAAAATACTGTTTCCAGCTTATTTTACTTACGCTACATATTCTTTGAATGTTTGAGCAGTTTCAAATTAATCAGAATGGATACCTTTGATTTATTGCATATATCATCGATGATCCACGCGACACGAAACGCGTTAAACTTGTTATAAGTTTATAACAAATTTGACGCAATCAAAAGAAAAGAAATCAAGTTTAAACGTAGTTTAAATGAAACGATTTCACCAATTATAAAATAAAATTCAGTTGCTATCGTAATTGATAAATATTTTTCATTAATTGTTCGTAATTTATTACAATAAATTAAGATCAATTAACCTCGTTAAAAGTATGTTCTTCTTCGCGAAATTAGACGCGTTTTGAAACGCGTGCACGAAAAGAGACCTAAAAGTATACGTACATTACAAAGTACACGATAATGAATACGTTTTCAATTCACAATAACACGGTGGAAATGCCCGATAAGTTTCGATAGATGAATGTCGAAGCCTGATTGTATTTCGTTTTAACGATACGAATTTTCTTCGTAAATAGTCACAAAAATCGTGTCGAGTATCAGCTTACGTCACCCAACTATCTGAGATTCCCCCGCGCACTTTTTTATGCAAAAAACGTTCACATCAAGAAGTGACTCGAGTGATCCTTGACTAGATGGCGATCTTTTCGAAAATTGCGCGTACAATTCGTAAACGAATTAGAATGCGTCTTATTATTAATAATCTCATTGTTATCTATCTCTACGTATAGCTGCAATAATATGATATTGGGGAAACTATGTGTAGTAAGATACTATAGAGGAACTCTTAGCTGTCGAGTACAATAGCTAAAAAGGGGGTTCTTCTTCTTTTCATTTTTTGACTAGCACTACCAGTACAATATTGATCGATTAGCATTTACGAAAAGATTGCATCGAAAGAAAGTCACGCATACTGGAAATGTAAGGATCTATATTATCTGAAAACAGCGCGCGAAGAATTTTAGGAAATGGGTGACACCGCGCATACCGCGCCACCAATCGGTAAAAAATAAAAACGAAAATATCGAGACTGTGCTTGACTCTTTTCACTTCGAACAGACTAACATTATGCAGAAATCTGTCTTCGCGATCAGAAGTTTATACTTCGTTCTTGACGACTGAATATTAATCTTTGAAATTAACGTTTCATCTATACGCTGGGCGTCGTAACGCGACTATTAATCATTTTTTTCGGCGTTTCACAATGAACGTTGAGGCGCTGATCAAAATCAGTCGCTCCGTTCAGCCTCCTAACATAATAACGTCTATAAAAAGTCTGAAAACAATCAACAAAGGCGTAAAAATTCACTAAAAACAATAAAGAGGTATAACGCCAAAAAGGCTTTTTTTCTACTGTCTTTTTAAAAACGCTCGAAAGCGACACTTTCTTGGGAATGATTGTGCATCTTTTTCCCTTTACTAATACTCAGAGCTCTGGCGCGTTGTTATTCATTCTCTTCTTCGCCGTTCCGGATCGTCAACACTCGGGATCTGCTAAACGATTTTCAGACACGACATTCAATATTGCACAATAATTTGTAAGGGAAGAAGAACATGGTAGCAAATAACAGTATTTACCTGGAGACGGAGATCCTTTGACTCTACAGGTGTTATAACTTCCACAATTCAAGCATTTCAATCCTACAATATGGAATTTTACCGCTGACTCCTGAAACGTTAGAAAATGTTATGTACCGAAGTATATCAATAATAAATATGGAAATGTACCTCGTGGCAATCCTTGCACAGAATATCAACCCTGTGATCTCTGTATTCTTCTGGCATCGGCGTTAACGATACCTCCATGTCCAAAAATCTCCATAGGTCAGTCATATCTAAAAGGGATACTTGGCAAATAGGGCACGCGTAATGCCCTGAGTGTAACAATTCCTCGAAACACGTACGATGGAGCAAATGGCCACAATTTGGAATGTGACAAGGTATACGGCTTGTGTGAATATCCTCCAGGCAAACAGGACAATTCGCGTGCGAGACATTCTCCACGCACTGAAATATTCGAAGAAAATGTTACTTGATCAAAGTCACTGCGTAACACGTTTTATGTACACGGTAAAGTTGTTTATTAAATATTTCGAAATACGCTACTTACCGTGTGTCCATTTTGTAACTGAACCGGCAAACACATATTGCACTTGGCACAGTGAAAAAATCGGTCGCGGCCACCGACTCTGCATATTCCACAGCCATCGCAGTGGTACTGATTTTTGTCTTCGTCGTCGAAAAGATTGCATTCGAGACACGTGTATTTACCGAATCGACAGTGACAATTTTGGCAAGTAGCTTGTACTGGCTGACGAGTATCGCATAGCACGCATATCAGCTCCGTTACTTCCTTTCTGTTTACTGTATGAGTTTCCTCTTTGTCGTGACAAAATCGACATGTGTATACCTTGTTGCAACATGGCGTCTGAAAAAAATTTTAACGATTCAAAAATTACTCGAAATAAAATTATTTATTTAGCTAGTAAAAACTTCAAAAGAATAAACTACATTAATTATTATAAAATAGCATCCTAATTTTAATGCTGCAAAAAATTGCAAGATATAAAAATTTGTAGGTTCGTTCATGCTTCGAACACCTCAAAAACGCATCGCCGACGATCCTTATACACTTTAGGAAACAAAGGCCTTAGATAATAATCCAATTAGCCCTCGTATGAATTCGTCCTTGATCCTTAACCCTTTCGATGCAGTAAGCGTTTATAAGCCTTCGGCAAATCTGTTCGACTCGTGCAGTGAACGCATATTGGCATGCGGAGGACACAATAAATGTGTACCACCATTGAAGACACTCTACACGAAGCATCTTACAGTATCAAAAAGATTAATAGCATGAATCGATTTAAGAAATCGCAGACTTAATATCATCGATCTTAGGAATTTTTCCGCGCAATAACAGCATCCAGTTAATAATATTAACGAGTCACGAGATACATACGATATAGAATAACATATGTAATCGATTGTAATTACGATTACATTGAGTTTCTATTAGACAGCGTAACATAGAGCCCTACATTCGAAGCCACGTGCTAGAGTCCTAACATGTCCGCCTACGTCATTGACTAGACTGATCTAAGAGTTTCAATTCTGAAATTAAACACGAAACTATAATACGAACACATAACTAATCACTTCTATATTCGATGGACAATATAAGCTTGCACCATATAATTTCTTATTATAATTTTGGCAACACAGATATCAAAATAGCATTTATTTCTTCAGATGCTACGCGCGAAGCCTATCTTTATTCATGGTGTTATTCTTTTAGGCAATATTTGAGAAATAAAGATCTCGGCGTCTTATCTTTATACTTTCGAACAAACAAGATAGAACGAAGCAGGAAATTCAAATCCAACGGCTGATGCACGGCTTCCCTCACCGATGATCGAATATTTGCCAAGTTGCGATCGGAATTATGACCTTCTCTTTTCTCGAATAACGTGGAACTACTGGTCGCTGGTGGCGAAACACGACATTTGACTTATCGCGGCAATTGCTAGCAAAGCTTTGAAAGAGGGCGTCTCGTTACACAACACACGGCTAAACTTCATCGATTTGTTTGCCGTGTACACACACGTATGCAGAACGCGCGTACGTGTTTACATGCGGCAAGTAGAAAATGCTCGCGTACGAACAAATTCGGCATCAGTTGTTAATTGCAAGACAGCTACGCGTGCCGTTTATTTTAGAAACGTTTGTACTATCGATTATCCAACAAGTTCAAGGATAGCTGCGAAGCTATCGAACTTGTCGATTCTATAATTTAATCACGTACAACAATTTTTCATCGTTTATCATTTCAAATAATACTCAAAAAACATGTGGAAAATAAATGAACGTTAATTATTAGATCGTTCAGCATGGAACTTGACAAATTTCAAAACGCACTTTAATTTGGCGCCAAATTTCAATATTAGGTTAGGTTAAAAGATACATCTCCGCCCTTTTTTTGTTGTGTTTCGTTGTTTCAATGTCTTCAGTAATTTTATCGATTGACCCATTTTCCTGTCATAAACGAACTGTTTAAATGACAAAATTAAATATTCAGATAATATGAACTCATATTTCGATTTAAACTTAACGAGTTTCGTTTCCTAAAAAAACGAAAAAAACCTCGTGACTTGTCGATTCTTTGATGGACTGACAGTAACTACGTTAACAATGTGAAAGTTAAATTCAATTCATAAGTAATTTATAAATCAACATCTCTAGATGTAATCTGTTCGGTAAGTTTTTATATATTGAACGTCAGTGTACTGGTAGGTGTTTTGTTAATTACCAGCTCGTATTTCCAAATTTAAAAGTTTGAAATCTCGTACCAGCTTCGTATCGTACGTATTGATGTTTGCCAGACCTTCAGCGGGCACTTGATTTGCCCATCACCGTTATAAACTAATAATCGCTTACTCTTAAAACCGAGCTTCATTATCAGTCTTTTAGGCTCTACTATTGCGCAAAAACTCATCGAATAATCCACGTTATATTTCAAGACTTGTTACTATAAAAATACTATCTACCACGAAAGCAGTATCGTCAGAAAATACACATATAACCACTGAAGCATCGCTACGCGAATTAATATAACGAACTGTCAACTGATGACGTACGTCTCGTCGGCGATCTAGCATCCAAATTAATCATTTATGCGAAGAACAATCATTAACTCTCGTTACACTGTTACGAGAGTTCTCGAATCAAGTTAGAAATTGCAAGGAATATTTATGAATCTACGGGGACGATATCGTCGGAAAATCGAGGGGTTAACAAGATCAATCAATGTCAGCGTTCATCGAAAAAAATGGTTGACACGGAAGAAGCCGTAAGACGAGCGAAAGGATTACGAAGAGCTGGAAAAGTCACAAATTGATCACTAGATACCCGCGTGATCAAAGTCGAAAACGGAGGCGGCACTCGACTCGGTTGACTGGAAAAGGAATCAAAAGGCTCACCACGAACTTCGACTTTCGCTTGTAATGTTCACAGCCGTAATCATCGTCGGCGGTTGCTTCCAGAGGTTCCTCCTTGGACGTCGACGCGCGTTCGGCCACGGTGCGCGCTACGTCGTTATTCTCCATATCTCGTATCGATCCTAACTTCCTGCTTCTTTTCCCTCTGCCGCCTCCTTCTTTTTCCATTCCGCACGTCCTTACCAGATTTTCTTGCGGCGTGCTCGATTAACACCGCTGGCCCACAGTTTGTTTGTTTAATTAACACGCTGGCGGCGATTCAAACACGGCGGAAAAAAGAAGAGCATCGGACGTGTCGAACGTTCAAATCGCGTGGTGAATACGAACAGCCCACGGGTACACAGTCAACCCGAACTGACAGGAAACTTCTCCAATCTCATATGTCCGCATGCGGGGATAAAACTGAATCGAGCCATCGTCTTCAAGCTGCGTACAACGCTGCTCTCTCTAATTTGTCGACGTTTCCGAAGGAATCTCACGATCTGATCTCACGGGATCGTGAGATTTTCGTTATACCTTCTATCGACCAAAATAATTATTACCAATGTTTAGTCGATCACTAAACGATGGAAATTGACGAAGCAACACTTTTTCGGTGATTTTAGGCAAAACCGTTTCACGATCGACACTACGAATCTACTACTCCTCTTCGTTGTACTATCACCACGGTATACTGATTACAACGGCAGTCAACGCAAGTGAAAAAAAGATGCAAAAGTCAAACCGGAAGTTGTGACGATGAGACGAACTACTGCGTCGCGATAGTAATTTATATTTTGATTCGAGAGAGAAGCGTTGTAAATTTACGTACCTCGGCTAAATTCAGAGAGGTCTTTACGAATAATGTGGCGTCAGTCTATAAATTCTCGCTTCATGACCATGTCTACACAGTAGATCAGAGGCGACACTCTCTGTCGGCATCTCTGATGTCTCAAAAGCGCTGTCCCTTTAAATTGCTTGTACAAACGAGCGGGAAATTTAAATCAAGCAAATCTACTTTCATATTAACCTCTAATAATTTGTAATAAATTTTCTGTATATTACAAATATTCTCTTTTGAAGTTACAGAGAATATGTTATAGAGATATGACAAGATATTTATTATAAATAAATTACTGGCGAATATGCAGGTTTAATATTTCTACCGCCATACTTCTACACCATGCACATGCGCACCCCCGATAAAATGGTGTACGATGGGTGTTGAATAGTGAGAGGAGCTTGTCAAATTTGATTAGTGTAATCGTTGAACGGAAGAAAATGAAATGAAGGAGAAGTACGTCATGTATGGCGGCCCGCGGAAAGTATGCGATAGAGACACGCAGTTCGCCCCGCACGGGCTCTGCATTCCGTCGGATTAATGATCAATGGCTTTATTTGAGAAGCGATACACGAATAAAGTGCTGCTAGATGATACAGAAAAGCTGACGAGCGTCATTGAAAATGCAAGAACAATCGACGGACATACGGTACGGCGCACGCTTAACGGGTATATTTTGACATTTGCTCGATGAAAGGTGAAGTTCGTATACATTGGAATTTCGTTCCAATCTCTTATCGTTGAATCGAAGAGTACTGACGTTAATTACGCAGTCGTTCTCGATCTTTCCTTTACCGAACATTAAACTCTTTCAATTTTCGTACTGACAAGTTGTTGCATCTGTATTCGATGTTGAACATTGAAGTGGTTATACTATAAATATTTATCATGAAATTTCTTTCAAATTTATTTGGACATAAATAACAACAATATGTGAACACTAATAAAATATGAACTTCAAAAATGTAGAGTTTATCCACTTGAAATAATTTTTTACCAATGTAATGGTATTTTGTATAAATTTAGGAGTACGTAATTAAAATACAAAGAGGTCCACTTCCAGAGAAATCTTGGAGAGTTAGCAGACGTTACAATGACTTTGTACAGCTTAATGCAGCTTTGTGTATATCAGGCATTGACCTGGCACTTCCTCCAAAGAAAATTATTGGTAATATGGAACCAGACTTTATAGCTCAGCGTCAAATAGCACTACAGGTAAATTGGAGTAAAATAAAGAATCGGTTAAGTACTTGTTTATTGTTGCCAACTACAAATTATCTTGTTTTCAGAATTATCTAAACAATATACTAATGAATCCTATATTGGCATCATCACTTCCTACGAAAAAATTCTTAGATCCGGATAATTACACAGCACCGTTACATGGTATGATCTAATTATAATAATCAAAGCTGTTTAATGAATGTAATAATGTAATTAAAAGTAAGTTGTATATATGTATAAATAAATAACAGATATAGAGAGAAAGTTCTAATTACGTAATTTTATAGACTGCACAGTTTCATATCTATACATATTTTGTATAAATTTTCATAATTTCATATTTTAGAAATAGCTTTGCAACAGGTGTCACTAGCCTTGCGCAGTGATGCAAATTTTGAAGTGTGCAAAGCCATTCCTGATATGGGATGGCGGCTGAGGAAGCACTATTACACTGTAAAAAATCGTCAGAATCCCAAGCAAGAACTACTACTTGCTTGGGTAGAATTTGGTCCAGATAAACATCTACAGGACAAAGATATGCAAGGTGTCTTTAAAAGTTTGGGAACCTTAAAGCACAATTATATAGAGCCAATTGTTTATCAACATGTGACAGAAAGTGGGGCATTAATGATAAGAAACTTTCACCCCACTGGTACATTGCGTGACACTTTGTGTGTGACTAAACCTAAACAACCGTTTATTAAAAAATACGGGAATCCAAAACAGACTAAATCGTTGATAGTGCCTGAAATTGCTATGTATGGTTACCAGGTTGGTAAACAAATACTTTGTACTTGAATGATAAATAAAGACACACCATACTTAGGAAATTTTTATTTTAGATTTTGGAAGCTTTAGGATTTCTTCACGAAAAAGGCCTGCCTTATGGTCATTTGCACACAGGTAACATTCTTCTAACTCAGAGATGTGCAAAATTATTAGACATAGAAAATGGTCTTTTGGGCTTGCCCGCATTTTATCGACCATACGTTGTACAGAGACGTAAACTTCATGCCACGGTATGTTGATAATTTTAATGCTTCACGAATTTATAAATATCATAAGTGCATATTTCTGTTCAACAGACGCAAGTGGACGTTTACTCGTTTGGACATGTACTATATGAAATGGCATTTGGAAGGCCATTGTTAGAGGCAACTTGTTCAGAGTTACCACATTGTGAAGCAACCCTAAAAAGTCTGTTAGAGGTGATTTTGTCACCCGAAGCTTTAAAACAGGACCTTCCAACAATACAACATTTATTGGAACATCCATTTTTCGAGTCAGCAAGGCGTGCAGCGTTAGCTGTTAGTTCGGTGGAGAAACCACATTTTAAACTGAGCAGTCATTTGAAAGAGGCTCTACAAGAGGCGGTGAACAAAGCAGAACAAAGATTGAAAGACGAACAAAAAGTTGTGAGACACCAAAAGAGGCTTGTCAAAGTTCAAGAAATGATGAGTTCAGAAGAAGAGATGAAGAAACGTAAACAAAAATTAGTAAGTATTATCTAATTATTATATTTATCAAATAAGTAATTATTTGTTCGATTTAAATCAATATTCCTCCTTCCTCAGAAAAAAGAACAAAAATTAGCACAAGAACAAAGGTCTGCAAATCAGTTGGGTACAAATGGAATGAAACACGTGAATGGCAAGAGTCCAGAGCGTTCGGAAAGTCCTACGAGTACTTCCACAGCAACGAGTGTTGGAACCTTGACTCCACCATCGCTGCGTAAGTATAGAAACACCTAACACCTAGATCTCACTAATAATTAACATTAACCGATCCTTCTAATGTTTACATTAGCTGGGCACAAAAGTTGATGGCGCATACTACGTTTGTTCCTCTCACGTAGGTCATATCATCACTGAAACATTTAATGTATCCGTTTGCACTTCGTATCCAATTATCGCTTGGATATGTTGTAAATGTACTTCATAATGATACAGTTATAATTTTATTATGCATACTAGAGAATGCGGTACTATAATTTATTTCTGGTACATGTAATTTTGGAGCAATAGTAGGATAGATTTTCCGTAGCGGTATTTAAGTGATTTTATGAAAAAATTCTGAAAAATTACAATATGCCTAACTTAAGGTTCTACAGATGGCCCACACAGTGATGGAGTTACTGCTAAGGGTGCTGTTCCACCGCCTCCATCGCTACCTATTAATGTGCTCGATAACGTTCCAAAGGTGACCAACGAACGAGCTGCTCTTCTGGGAAGTATTTCTAATTTCAACAAAGCTAGTCTTCGCAAAGTTTCCTCCAATGGATACCGTTGAGTAGGATAGATAATTATATGAAAATGCTGAGCAGTCGTCTTGACTGATGACATACATATGATGCGACCTATACCAAAAAGATGCTATTTTTTCATCAAATAAGCATGATGGTGTCTATAATTTTATTTCGATCGCGATACTTGATGGAACTATATGTATTCGAATTCTATAGCATCCTAGTATGTATGTATATATAACACTCGGAAACAAGTAGTCATAAATCATGTATTTACAAATAATCGTGTACAAAATAATCCTATTATGTATGTTAATAGCATGGATCGTTGTTAGAATTGAGCAATATTTAAATATTATTTGTTGTTACTTTTATTCTTTAAACACCGTCCAACGATGGATTCGAAATTGTAAAAAACTTATTAAAATATGAAAGAATTTTTAAAAACATGTTTTTTTGCATAATGTTCTATGCCATGGTCATGAAAAGTACGTATTGACGCTATTAAAAAATACTGAAAAAAAAGTTAACTTAAAATCATGTTATTCGTAAAATAATGAATAGTTCTTAACTACGAAATACGGGTAGAGATCGATATGAATACTTTCGTTATTAAAGTTGAAATTCAGTTGTTTTGATCCAAGTTTCGCGATCGAACTTTTAACCAATTTGTTATATATATCAGTTTTCAAAATTTGTTCGTATGGACTTATAAAAAAATTTGAATGATAAGTGATAAAATGAGAGTGATATATATATCTGATATTTTTTAGATATGTATCAGATATGTATATATGTGCGTACAACACAAAATTTGTCTCGTTAGTCTATACCGTTCTGTCTATTTAAAGTTTATGGTGTATGTGACGTCTTAAAGTACAGATCCTATTCGTCTTTGTAAAAATGAATATCGTGTGTTGCTTTCGTTATATTACTCGTAGAATCAGAATCGGCTGTTTCTGCGAAAAGAAAAATGTGCCAAGATACACGCGATCTTTCCATTGGAGAATAGTAACATCATGATGGTACGATATAATCTATTTCTGTATGTCATAAAAAATATATATGTACAAGATCTATCTGTGAATATCGTAATAGAAACGTGTAATATAGTCATACTTTTCATATATAAGAATGATTTCAAGCGTAATTCTGTTGAACTGTCCATGTGAATGTTATTCTTCATAGAGTAATGTAAATATTTACTTTACTAACACTCGTGACATCAGAATAAAAAAATTCTATATTTATTGATGAAAAAATGTCACTTACATAATTCGGAAATCTTGAAGTGTAACGATGATCATTAGCGTAACTAGATACGGTCCAGGGTAGGATAATTTATATATTAGAATTTTAAAGATTTTCAAATTTCGAGTCCTAAAATTCCTAAATTTTCAAAAGCAACTTGGTTATGCCTGATAAGGAACACTATTAGTAAAGTTATGGGACCTGGCCAACTCCAGACGAAAATTTTAGTTACGCCAATGGTAATAATAAATACATTATTAAATTAGACTAGTCGTTGTTTATGAGAGATGATACTTTCGCTAAAGTGTGACAACCAAAAATGATATGAATGTTTTCTCGAACTAAATACTACGATGTGGAAAACAATTTATTAAAATCGTTTGTTTAAAAAAGATATCACATTATACGTTGAATAATCATACTAAATATGAAATGCAAGAAAATAGTTTTCATGTAGGAAATATTTTACTACTTACAATGAAAATTTAATAAATACAAGATATGCATATCTCTGCAGTATTTTTATCATTGATTGTAAGTATCTTTAATATCGTATTGTAAAACCCTTATATCAAAAATATACATGTGCAAATATAGCTGTCAAAACGTATGATGGTACTTATAAACGTTGCAATTTGATTTTGTCTATAGTTTTTAATGTTCGATAAAGTTGGGATTTAATTGTTTAGTCTCTATTCGATTCATAACTTCTTTTCTTGTTATAGTATAATTATATTCAATCTATGCGCAGCATATAAAATAGTTCGTCGAGTACGCGTAATAATTTCAGCGGATGTGTAAAATTGTTACGTTTGTCGTGCAATCACAAATTATTAACTCTATAAGATTACGAAGTCGGCACGCGTAGAAACAAACGGTTGTGGCACGGTTTTAATACTATTTCTCGAGCTTATGTAATTTGTGATTGTGTTCAAGTTCTTTTATGAACAATCACCGTGATTTGTTATGCGGTATGTCACTAGAATCACTTGTGTGTGTACATAAATGTGTTGCATATATACATTACTGTGCACGCGATGACGCAACCGCGAAACGTATATGGCATTCTTGATCGAGTCAATAAGACTCGTATTTAAATTAAATTCGAAAAAAAAGTGCCACGGACATAGCGTTTTCCTTCATTCAGAAACTCTGAACTGCTACTGCCTGATACATGCTATACTACACAATTCCGTAGGTATTACTAACGCGTTGTTCGCAGGCGATTATCTCCAATTGAAAACAGAGTGCCGTAATCACCTGTTGTCATATTAAAATTAACATTTTATTTTTTGGCAAATTAAAGCTAGCTAAGATGATACGAATTGTGCCTTATTTCATTATCACGTGGTTTCATGAAGTTCTTCCGTCTCCGCCTTCAGTCTACAAAAGATATTCTCCATTATTACGTACTTCAGACAAGTCTCGATTCGTATACATATGCAAGAAGAAAATTTACTTTAAAAGTTCAGTCTGAATGCGATCCGTAATGGCCTTTCTCGCTTGTATCTCGTCCACTTTCGACGTACGCAACTCGTGCACTAGTTCAGTAAAGTCTATGGGGTCACCATAATTTATGGTGACCTTATTGTTCGTTCGTAACCTATACGGCACTTCGTTTGGAAGTACCGAGTCCATGCCAAGGTGATAGATAGGAATCACTAATGGCGGAACAGGCGATTCGAATATTAACCTGCCAACGCCCCACTTTAATCTGTAAGACAAAATGATATGCCAAGTTTCTCGGTATATGCTCGTGACGTTGCAGCAGTTTCATATTGGCGAAGCTCTAAATAGAATGACAAGAGAACCAAGAACTGACCTCATGTTTTCTTTGAACATATTTACTTTTCCCTCAGGGAAAACGTGAATCCACTCTCCGGCAGCCAGTTTTTCGATGCAGAAATTCATCGCTTCCTGATACACTCCGGCACCTCTGATCACGGGAATGCATTTGCCCAGCATAAACAAGTAGGAATGCCAGGTTTTCGTGAAACAAATGTCGTGAGCAGCTAGCGACCATCGCATCTTACGTGGTTTCAGCAGATACCTCAGGTCCAGTGTCGCTAAATGAGTTCAGAGATTTTTCTGTCTTAAATTCTTTCATTCGATCGCTTATCGACGTCATTCTGAGGAAGAAAAGATTATATATGTTTCAGGAAAGGGGAATGCTAGCGTGTCAAAATAATCGACACTACCAGAACAATGAGCTCGTTGCATTTCGGCAATTACATAAATAATGCATCGCAACCTTTATCGTACCACTGTATTGTTTCATTCTCATAAAAGAATTATTTTGGGTTAACAGGAAGTTAATTCTTTTGTGCTGACCGCAAGCTTATCGACTCTCTTTGTCTGATGTACATGTACAAATATTTTGCTACAAAACTCTTTATTTTTCCTTTTATTGTCTATTTACTTGTACACACAACAAGATTATATTTTAAACTTCTTCATTCTGCTCGCTAGAATGTTTTCAGTTGGTCCTCGCAGAACGCAAGAAACCAAACAGTGCAAAGCTGGAAAAATGGCTTGCGGAGCACAAGAGCAACTTTATCGTTTCACGGCACATGTTGACATAGTTGCTAAGAATCCCCATATCGGATGATACATCGCAAATACTAAAGGTTAACATTTTAGAACAACAGTACTTTAGTCTACTTAGTCTAAACGCATCTCCCTTGCTCTCTTTGTTACACGACGCCATGATCTGATTAGTAATGAATAGGTGACTTTATTTCGTTATAATCAATCAGGCTCGCATTCTCTCCACACCACCAACTTTCCAGCTCTGCACTGTACACATCTTTGAGAACCTGAAAAAACACAGTGTCACGTAAAATGTATTATTTCAAATGTACGACCGAACGTCTGTAATAATTAAGGTCGATGGGATAGTGTCGAGTGCATTAACACCGAATGGTCATAAAGGTGGTCAAACTGGCCAGGGAACTTACCCCATATGCCAGGGTCGTCGAAACAACTGTGGTGGTTAGACACTGTGATGAGAGGCATATTTTTCGGCCGACAGTCTAACGCCCGATTAAGGATATACTTGTTATACACCGTCGTTTTGTTGAGCCATTCTGAAATACCGGAAAAAAGTAATTAGTCGAGACTAAAGTCCGCAATAATTGCAAATGCTGTGATTTCTCGTAGCCTTCTCGATCTAATGTATTTCAGAACTTCAAGATAGTTCTATTACTTATGCTTCGTTGCCTCTAATAATTGCAACTCGAAGTCCACATTATTAGTACGATTAGAGCTACGATTCTAATAAAGATCGCAACAGTTGCGAAACTGGTTGCATGATTATTTACCATATTTCTAATGGCGAATAGTGAAAACTTTCCATTCATCGATAGCTTTTTTTGTTGAGCTACTTGGACACCGATTGGATCAAATTAAATTATTTCATCATCTAAGGGCGGTAAAAGTTTCAACAGCTCCTTGTACAAATTTTGTTCCTAGAGACGCATCTTACGTGTATAAAAACAATTCATTTTTTTATAAAAAAAGTTGTAAAAATATAATATTTATCTTTGATAACAACTTCGTACATAGTATACATTTCTTGTCCAGCAAAGTAACATCCAGTTTTATAAGGCCAACGACCTCTGTACAATGTCATTCAAGGTTAAGATGTACATATAAACAAGATGACAAAGATATAACGCTGTTGAAAAAATTGACGATGTAAAGTGTTTGTGATCTTCGGTAACCTTGTAGGTTTATAATACTTATTCATATTTGCCACCATTCAATGGAAATTTTTTTAATCCTGTCTGCTTACGAGTAATTGAATATTATTTTTCGACATTGGCATGAAAAAAGTAACACTGTCTATTTGTCGCTAATATACATGGAGAAATTGATGAAACGAATAAAAGAGGATGGGATAGATAAGGAGGGGACGCTGGTGTATGTCGCGTCTACTCGACCGACCAATTGAGTAATACGTTTAATTTCCGAACTTTATTGTATCGTCACTAAGTCAACATCGAGCTGTCCTCGTAAAATCAGTGGTGTTCACTGAAAGGTCAGTGTAAGCCAACGATTTCCTGCACCCTTCGTCGGACAATAACGTGTATGCAATCTTAACCGAAATTAGGAACATAAATCGCAAGAATCATGGAAGATGACACGCGATATTCCATTTTACGTTCTAGATAGGATTACATATCTTGGCTAATCGCGTAGATTAGAACTACGATGATTACGCACTTGTTTTAAAAATACGAATATTCTGAAAAGAATATACGATTTTAAATATATTATTCAATTCTTTATAATGAAATTCCAACTTAGAGTGCTGACTTTTTATCTTAAACATTGGTAACATGTTTTTATTTATAATTAATTGTATTAGACAAATGCACAATTTCATACGGCGTCACACTTTCATGTCACGTGATCAATGGCGCCATACGATCGAAGCGAATGAAATTTATTACTCAATTCAATTATACATGAAATGTTTAAATGCGTTACATATTAGGTTCGCTATTGATATTTAATTATTTTATTCTTTGTACATGGATAACTGTACACGAGAAAACAGAATTTTACTTGAATTTGGCTGGAAATAGATTTTAAAAAATGCGCGCTAAAATTTAAAAACTGCTTCATAGCGATAATGAATATCGAAAGCGTACGTAGTAAGTATTTACATATATAAGCATATATTAACATAATACTATTTTTTTGGATAATCTTCATTGAATAGCCAATGAACTAGTTACATTTAATGATGGAAACATTATAAATACATTAAACGCAATTACGTTGAAAAGTAACATCACTTGCAAGTTTATTATTTTGTGTTCGTTTTTTAAAGTTGTCCATGAATAATGACGGTTAATGACGTACATATCGACTTTTGATCGACTTAATCGATAAGATATATGACAACGATATATTTGATAAAATTACGTAGTCAGATTTATCGATATGTTTTTGGAATATTATGTTGCACGTGTTCTTTACACTAAAAAAATTTGATGAAAAATGTTCAACTTTTCACGTGCTTCTTTTGTAAATTCATTTACAAATATCAGGAAATATTTTTCATCATGCCTGAAGATAATTATTAGAACAATTAAATGAGATGATTTCATAAATTGTTAAACTGTTATATAAATCAACATTGTTTTGCTACCATTATAATTTGCACGCATAACCGCAAAGTAACATTAGATTCTCTATAATAATTCGAGGTCTGATTTTTATACTTGTTACCACACAATATTTAAAAATGTAGACATTTTTTACTGAAGAGTTCTTGAGTGTCAGTCGAAATAATTTTTAATGCACGTGTACATTGAGTCAGAAGAATATAAAGTACTGATTAAAAAACCGGCTAAAGCAATTGCTCACATACCTATAAAGATTTTAGAGAAAATTCCTACTGCTGCAAAGGTTATACTGCTCGCGATGTTCCAGAGTTTACACGGATTTCGAAGCTTCGGAATGATCCATTTGATATCGTATATCATCGTACCGCTTTTCACTGGCTGTGTCCGAGGGAAAAATAGTAATGCGGTACTTTTTTCGCACGATTGGGAAGCACCTTCCCCGCGAGAAATCGTCTACTCTTTCGTAACTCACCACAACCATCTTCGTGCCAACTTCACGCCATATTTCTCGATAGCTGTCACGTGGTCAGTCGAACACCTCCGAACATATCCGAACGTTGACGGCTATTGAATCATTCAATTCGAAATTAAACGCGCTTTGAACACTTGTTCTCGCCTCGGTTAACGACATGTAAGTACATCCCGTTACTAAATTCATTGCAATCGAACATTTCGAATAAAAATGATAGAAATTTACATTCAGTTCTATTAACTTAAGATTATTATTTCATTTGAACACCTGATCATAGGTATTCGTTAAACATTTTTTAGTTAACGTGTTTCCGAATATAACCTATACTATAAATTTTTTCGAAGTGATATCTGAAATATGAAACGCAATTAAATAAAATTACACGATGTTTGCAGCATGGAAATTGTTGAGCAAAATATCAAAATGATGAGTGTAGACATCAAGAAAATAAGAGGAATAAGGAAACAGGTATTAAGAAGACATAATACTTTCCGCCATGTTTGCGATATGTACGGTACCAATAAGAATTTTATTTATCTTTTCTAGCGGTTCAAGGAAATTTGCTGGAAGAATAACAGAAAACCAAATTCCTAAGACTAGTCCAGAGGGTTATCCAACAATTCTGGTGGTGGTAAATAAATTTATGGGCGCATTATCCTAAACGGTGGTAACGCAGTCTCGTTAGTGCAACTCGAAAATTGCAAGGGATACATTATAATAATCATGGCACGCTTGTAGCTGGCGTAATAGTAAAATGCTCGGGAGATCGAAGATAACCATTCACGGGACGAACGGATGTACAATAAGACACAAATGTCTACGAAGTTGTGCCTCTGGCGGTGACTCTGCACTTGCAATGTCAGCCGAACACCTATCAGAAGCTACTGCGAAAGAACGCGGGAGGGTTATGAAGGGGAGAGCCTTACACGACTATCGAACAGAGCCGTCGCTACAGTTTGTAGGACCCCAGGTATAAATTTGTATTATTGAAAACCCCTATCTCAGACTTGTTACATTACTATGTTCTACATCATTGAGGGACAACTGCGCTTGTACGGAACTTCAATATACACATAAAGTGCAGTTGCGGGTACTGGTAGCTAATTTTCCAATTTGTAAATAGGAATTTTCTGTAAATTTCTGCATACGCGTAGGAGAAGGCAGCTAGCATACCGGGACCAGAGGCATTGGTTCTGCACCGTGTATTTGATATTCCCTGTGTGGTCTATGATGGGTGTTAACTATTAAGACAAATTCATCTAATACATCACATAATATATTACCGAAAAATTCGATGCTTGAATTATTAAAAATTGATTTAATTTTGGGGCAATTAAAAAGTTGTTGAGCGCAGAGCTCGAGGCAGGTACCCCGATTGCTCGACGCTAACGGCGGTACTGTCATCGAATATACGTATTAGAGTCTTCGGTTAAGTTCATGCGCTCGAAAGAAAGGATGAAGTACGGGAGCATCGAAGGAGGGGAAAAAGAAGGGAAAAGATACAATGATGCGAGCAAAGTCGTAGGCCGCGGGGGAGGGATGAAAGGAGAATGTCCGGTGGCATGTGGAAGGTGGGGACCTGACGCGAGGAGAGAAGCAACCAGTCGAAAGGGTACCGAGTGGGGGAAAAGGGCCTCATCTCAACAGCCAGTCCGATTCGAGTCTCTCGGCTGCGTGTTCCCGTGCCATCGTACATACGAGGTATCCTTCCAGTAACAACTGTGGAGAGGATACCTTGAAGCACCATACCGAGTCGAGTCGTGTACCATTCGAGAGTCGAACGCAAAGTGTCTTCTTCACGTTGTAATTCTTCTCTCGACCGCTTTCGACGAATAACAATAGTGCGCTTTCCATGACAGAGCGAAAGAATATAGGGTTTTAGGGTTATAAATTCGTTCGGATCTGTTCGGAGATTTGTTTAGATCGCGGTTCTTTCGTCCGCATAACCTTGACATTCGAGATGACAGATCTAACGGCGATACCAGTGCCGCTACCGACGATACGCATGTACCAGGGCGAATTTCTCGACCGTTGAACCGTGAACAGTTACCGAATACGTCGAAGGTAAAGTAGTGTGAGACACGCGGCTAGACGGTGATGCTATAGAAAGAGAAAGAGAGGAAAAAAGCGATCAAAAGGAAAGGCAAAAAGGGCATCTCGGTGGGGCACAGAGAAACACAGAGCGAGAAGGAAGAGAGCGAGCCGAGTGTTCGGCTTGACTCGAGTGCAGTGTACGGTGATGCTGCGAGGATGCCACCGTCGTCGGTCCTCTCGACACGATATAAGACGGCGAGACGACGGTACCCCGTGATCAGCCGGGGCCCCACGACTTTCTGCCACGGCTTTGTGCTGTTACACGCGCGGTGCGGTGCAAGTGCGAGTGCAGGTGCAACTGTGAAGTGGTGCCAGTTCGACGACAACCAGAGGGTACGCACGGGATATTACGCGGCGCGAGAAGTGATCCGTGTTCGACGATGCGGAACATCCGGAATCGTGTCCGTTGATTCGCGAGTGAAGACAGCGTCGTTGCCCGTCGCGTGTCCGCGTATGAAGAACGTTATCGCCGCTTCCGGAAGCAGCTACGAAACCGGCGTGCGAATTTCGTGGGCTGCGTTCTCGTCGAGCTCGAACTATCCCGAGCATCATCGCGGTTTCAGCATCTCGACTGCAGAGAGAAAGCAACAGGTAAACGTGTAGTACGCGTTCCGTATTCTCGGTGGTTGCACGTTATACGCTCGCGATGCCTGTTCGTTCGCGCACGAACGTGCGCATGCTCTTGATCGAAGATCTCGCCGTGCACAAGCCAATACACTGCGGGCAACAGTCACTCTGTGTGTACGTACATAGGTGTCTTTCATTGCGGAAGAAGTTCCAGTTCAACCGACTCGAGCTCTTGCATCTCTGCCTCGTGCACGTCCTGCTAGTTTTATGTTCTTTACCCTTCAATCCAATTATTATATACAAATATTCCATGCAGAATTTTCCGTTTACGGTTATTTTAATGTTTACCGTTTTAAAGACGATCAGCGTTTAGGTTAGTCATTACCGCAAGAATAATGTACTAAAGCCCTGTTTAGTAGCCATTTCTAGATTTGAATTTACCTCACTTTTGGCCATTAAATACGAACTAGGAATAATGCAAGTTATTGCGACTAGATGTAGGTCTTCAGAGATGTTGAAATTTATGGTCTTCAAGATCTAGGAATATTACGAACGAAATAAGCTTAAATCGTTAGGGAGTTTGCATACAGTCTGATGCAAATTTAACGACGCATCCACTTCGTGAAATAAAGTTGCTTTGATCGTCCCGCCAATTTCAAGCAACCATCGACAACAGAAACTTGCGGCGCCATATTTAAAGAATTCTGCTAATGACAAGCAAAGGCATAAAGTGTCCCATGGAACAGCGTCTCGTATCCGAAAGTGTGCTACGGTTTTACGTAGATTTCAATTAAGATAATACGCGTTCGATGAGCAGACGCGCAAACGCGTAACCGAAGAGGTCTGCTTAGAACCGCGGTGGACCACCTACTATTTTCGGGGAATGTTAATTGGCCGTTTCACGAATTATAAAACACCGAAGCCAGAGAAGTTCGGTGCCACGCTTGCTATCGCTTCCATTAACATACCTGTGTGTTCCGTTGCGTCGTTGTCGTTGCACGCTAGCGACGCTTAACTTTAACGACGCAAAAAGATACTAATTATAGCAACCTGCGGCTACTTCTTCCACACTCGCAAGACCGTAGCCCACTTTCCTTATTTCCCGCGTTTCGTTTGGTCTGGCCGTGAATAGCAATTACGGCAACTTAGTCTAATTATGGTTCTGCATTTGTTGTCACGATTTCGTCGGTGTTTCTCTGGTTTCTCGGAACATTAGCGGTACAATGGCGGCTAATGGTATACGGAAGATGATTATAACCGGTCGCGGCGTAAAACGAATTTCTAGAATAGTAACGAGAAATTCTGGACGACAGTTCTGCACGAAGCTGCGCAAACGTGGATGACTTCCATATAACTTTATTAAAGAAGCTACCTCGGTAATTGCAAGGTTACGGTGATCAGATACGCGCGGTCGTGGCTATTCCGTTGGCGACCATGAAATTCGTCGTACTCTCAGAATTTTCCAGAAGGTAAATTGCCCGTAGGCAAAACTACCGTCGCATAACAAGGAATTTGTGCTCTTCCACATTCCGGGGTAAGAGATAGGGTAAACGAGAGGTATACATACATGCTATGTATACATGGGAATGTGATGTACAATGGAATGTCGGTCAACGAAGGAACAAGGTTATTGCGCTTTACAAGTGTGCTAACTACACGCTAATTACAAGTAGAAAGTTTTTAAACTTTAATAGTGCATTGTCAGATGTCACTGATGATATGAAAGTTGATTGATTAGAGAAAATTTTCTCCACATTAGCACTGTGCTAATGTACATCAACTCCTGTAGTGTTGGAAGTACTGAAGTCAGCATTGACACTTTGAAGCAGAGACTGTAAACTTGAAACTATGGGACTTTAGAGTTTTATGAATTTTGGAACTTTGTTATTTTGAGTGTTGTTAAAGAAACAGTAACGCGAATGCCGAACTGTATCAGTAGGTAAAATGTCACGTATCATGCACAACTTAATCGTTTTTCTGTCCTTCACGATTTTACAGAGCGTGGCACGTGACAGTCGCAAGACCATGAGCGACCTTGCAGTTCCTGTCACGGTCTTTCATAAAAGTCTGTGCTGTTCACGTAGCCTTATTGTACGTTGGGGGTCGTATAATGGCTCTGTGGTTAAATTTCTCGTTCCTCCTTTTTCTTCTCGTACCAATCTCTGATACGTCTACTGTGTGTGGCTATGATCGACCTTCGACGTTACCCTCTCGTTCAAAAATACGATCGAACGTATTTTTCTCGTTCCTTTTGGAAACTCCGTTTTCAGTTAATTTCATAATCCTGTAAGGTTTCGCCAGCAATTTTCAATTTCATTTTATCGACTGTGACCAACCGTTTAAAATGGAAGGTGATCACGTCGATCGCAACTAAACGGCGGGATAAGTTATCGACTTCGTTGTGGATCTTTTTCGTCCTTTTCGTTTTCACGCATGCGCAGCTGCGCCATTAATTTTTATCGCATCTCGGAGGGAATTCATTTATTACGTATCGTGGGCAAAAAAGCGACAGAAAAATGGAACGTTTAAGAATAATCACGGCAGGAGCAAAAAACCGGGTGAATAATGGAAAGTGTTCGATGGTGGTTCCTTTACATTTTCTGCGTACTAAAATTTTTAAAAAGGATGTAATTACTTGGTGTCGGTTAATCGACAGCGACCGGAATCACATGGGACATCGGTTACCCGTTAATTACTGGTTACCTTTATTAATTTGAGGGGATCGTAATTGTCCATGTTCCCCGCCTATTAGATGGCGCCTTAAATGTATTACTTCGTCGATATAATGGCCAGCAGAAATTGTCGAACGTTAAACGTTAACAAAACGAAAAAGATCGAGATCTATATTAATTGTAACACACTTTGTTCTCTGTACCTTGATTCTTTTTAAACTTTTCATAAAATTTTTTTAGGCAATTTCTTACATTTTAAAATCAAAAACTTTCCCACACTGCGTTGAAAAAAGTGCGTTCAAGCATGCACGCGGCAAAGGTACACAAAATGTATCTCTGATTTAATAACCATGGTAAATTTAACGACGGCGAACGTTACTATACGATAATTATCGTAATTTGCGATAACGGTCGATATTAATTCCAATCGATAGACCTGTACGATTTTAATTAAAGATCGCGAGAGCGATGTGATTTGCATAATGAATGAATTAAGCCAAAACGACAAGTCCTCCTTAAGCAATATTTTTACAAATTAGATCCTCGTGATTTTCCTGGAAATTAATATCCGATTTTCTCGTTTTCTACGTACAAGTCCGCTAATGAATTTTGCTTTGAACCGACTGATAAGATTGCAAAAGTCGGACGAAAATAGATGGAGGACAGTAAAAAAGTGAGTTGCAAAAATAGGTAATAAATCAGCTACTTTGCACAATAATTATAAAAATGTAAGGTTACATAAAATTAACCGAATAACAGTAGGTTTTAATATTTACTATAGTATTCATGTCTTGAAATTTCAGTCCATCATATTAGGTTTCAAAGCTAATTTCCATGAAAATCCAGGCTCGCGCCATTATGGTCCTATAAAGATTAATAAACCGTAATGTTAGGAAGTAGAATTTAAGGAACATATTTTAGAAGGAGGCATGGAACAAAGATAATGAGACGATTTCGTGTTACAGAATGTTGTCACCTGGTCAGGAGGGCCAGCCTAACAGTTACTCGCACGGTAATGTCGTTCTTCAAGGTGCACCCTGTGGTCAGTGTCGAGATTTATGTCCAGCCGGCTACGTGCCTCACTTTTGGAGGTGAGTAATCAAACACATTACGTATGCATTAAACACTTCATTCCTTGGAGCAGTTTTTTTCGAAGCCGAAAATTTACCGATCAAGCGAGTCCTCTTTTTCGCCGCGTTTCCATCGGAAGCGGGTAACGTACCCTTTGATCGCTTTTTTATCCGGCGAGCAGCGCCGGAATTTTATGATGCGCTTCCAACGAAAGGAAAATCAATGACTCGAGCGGCTATTACCGTTCGAGCGGAGTTATCATTATGCAGCAACACTGACCGAAACGATTCCAAGAGAAATTACTGATCGCGCGATCAATGGCCGCGTAAATACTTCTTTAATGCCACTTAAAAGATCTCGATCTCTGTGCACGCGATCCTTTGATTTTCTCCGGTTGTCGGAAAGGAAAAGTAAACTGCACGGATGAGCCAACATAGTAAGCTTTATTGCAATAAAGAAGTGGACGGTCAAGATGGAAAATTATCACGAGACCGAAGACGGGTTGCTCACGATCGATCGATAAAACGAAGGGGTGACCAATCGTTGCGTAAACTGTAATTGATAATACTGTCCAGTTATCTAGCAACATCTGCTAAACGTCGCTCGATTTACAAGTTGAATGAAAATACATGTCAGACTAATATTTTAATATGACTAGATGTCACACTCTGTATCTCACGGAGAGATGCTTCATTTAATTAAACATGTTTGTGTCTTTGGTTATAATGTTATCGAGTATGTAATAATCTGATCTTAGTTTCTACGCAAAAAAATTCAGTTAATGCAATATGCAGTGGAATATACAGTACACATTTACTACGTATAGATTGCATCTATTATTCATATTGGATAATTACCTGTATATTCATAAAAGATAACCGATAAAGTCTTCGATATAAATTAAGAGTTGATCTGCAGGAATGCAGAGGAAAATAGTGCAAGTAACACGTTGTGCAGGAACAAAATAAACAAGCCTCAGCTCGCCATTCACAGAGAAGATGCTTCAGAAGCATCCGAATAAAATCATAATCATCGAAAGTCAGGAATTATCGAGCGAGATGTTGCTCCTCTACGAACATTGAAAACGTGTTCGAATGGAGCGGAGAGCGTGTTGTGCAAATAATCGAGGGTCGATTTCCGGTGAGCCTGGGGGATGAGAGGAGGAGGAGCCGGAGGAGGGTCGAAGTGTAACCGTGGCCTTAGAGCGAAGGCAGCAAGATCGAAAGAGGGCAAAAAGGAAGAAAGTTTCTCGGCTTCGGGTCGTAGGGTCGACTCGTTGTCGGTCTCACGCGAGCCCTGCGTGCAACGAGCACCGCGATGGGCTGTTCCAAGACGAATCGGCTGGCAACCGAGCGAACCGATGAGAAAGAACGAGAGGCGAGAGGGTACAAGCTCCAAAGATGAGACGGCCAAAGGGGGAGAGACGTATGTTGGTCTGTAATTAACATACCGAGGCCCCCCTCGTGTAAAGTTGGTCCGTCGCGTCGGTTCGCAGGTTCACAGAGCTTGCTGCAGTTTTGCTGGCAGTTTGTTATTCCCTTGGAAAGTTCGCCGCTTTGTTCCTTGCCTGATTATCGAATCTGACTTCTCGATCAAACCACCTCGGTTACCACGTTCACTCCACGATACGAAAACTTTAAATGCAGTAAACCAATTAGCAGCTGTGAACTTCATGAAAGTTCACTTCATGAACTTCGTGTACCTTTCATCGGGGTTCTTAATACGACTGATAGATTACCTACGTGTTACTTATTAAATGTCTTTGAAAAGTTTCAATTTCTTGACATAAAAGTACAAGAGACACATATGGCATACCAATTTGCAGCTGCAAGCTTCGAAAATGACTGCATAGACGCTTCACGGAGATTCTTAATATTGGACTGACTGGTTGTTAACTGCAATATTCATACATGTCACGTATCAAATGGCTGATTCCGAAAAGGAAAAATTCTCCTGCAACTTCTTGATACAAACTTGTTACAAAAGGGCACATATGGCATACCAATTTACACCTGCGGGTTTCACGAAAATGACTACACAGGTCTTTCATCGGGGTTCTTAATGTTGAATGACTGACTGGTAACTGCAGTATTCACGCGTATCGCGTATCAACTATCTGATTCCGAAGTGCTGTAATTTCTTGACATAAAATTGTTATAAATTATCACTTATGATTTGAAGGTAAAGATTTAATGAAAGTTAAATGGTCCATCGATATTTCGAATACAAGACTTCTTGGAACAAAGTGTAGTTTCCCTGAAGAGAGCGCAGCGAATTCTGGAAGCTTGAAAAATACGGTATCGGTGACGTGAAAGAACTGATCGAGGTCGACCGGATCCCCATAGCGTGGTATCGATCAAAGTCCGGTGGAATCAAAGGATTAAAGCTTATCTCACACTCTGTCGTCCAGTGGAAGCGATCAAAGCCGGCTTTCCACGGAGCTCTCTCAGTACGTTTTTCATCGCGTTCAAATTTCGTTCATTCCCTTCCGTGTCCCTCGTCCGCCATCTGATAAGCCGAATTAATACGAGTCCTAAGCCGGAATTAGATTCCAGAAACTAATTTTCTTGAACTCGATCCTGTACGTCTCCACGTTAAATTCGTTATAATTTCACAAGAAATATTATAACATAAAAAATTGATATTTCTCCAGAACCAAAGTTTGATAAAAGAATTGTACGCAAAAGAAAAACCTGTCTAATTAATCTGACTCTTTTTGAAGTTCAAAGATCCGAAGCTACCCGATAATTGCCAATAAAGGCATGAAAGTTGATCGAGCAAGATTTTCTTGTTCGCATTTGATTATCCTCTCGTACAAAAACTGCCAGCATAACTCGTGGCGTGAACACGTGTTTCCCGTATGGGATCGGTAGAGATCTTATTATCAAAACCCGTGTAGCCAATTTAGCAGCCTCGCGGAGAACCTACCTTTAAGGTTTAGTTAGCATTTAACCGTACAATGAAGATCCGTAACCGAGATACGAACTGAACTTTCTATTCCCATTTCGATGTGTGCGTTCAGTCGGTGCATCCCTCTTATTCAGGGTTTTCACTTTATTAGAGCATCGCGCTTAATTAGAGTCCAATTCGCGTGCTGCGAAATCGCGAACCGCAAGTTTTCTGTTAGGGATTTGGAGTTATCGATATTGGGATACCGGGGTGAAAGGATATTGGTTCATAGGGTTATAGGGATGGGTGGGACATAAATATGGTTTATGGAGATGTGATGTCATGGAGATATCGATTTATATTACGAATCTTGAGGATATCGAGATTTAAGGACGTAGGGTATGTGGATCTAGAGACGTAGAAATTTAGAAACGGTGAGGTCTGAGTTTCAAAGTCTGGACCTAAGGGTATGTGAACCTAACAGGGATCTAGCAATGGCTCCTAGGACTACATGAATCTCCAGAGTTAGTGATCTAGGAGATGTCGGACCCGAGATCTAAGAATCCAGAGTTTGCAACCCGCATCCAGATATTTTTCTCTCCGTAATATCGCCTTTCAACGAGCACGGCATAAACCACAGTCAGTGGACTATAATTTTGCAGAGCAGAGGATAATAAAAATACCATGCAGATTCAGTAAAGATTAGAAGCCCTTAATTTTGACGAACTTCCTTTTTTAAACGCATTTCAGTGAGGTGGCCATGTTGCCAGAGTCTCTATCGGAGATAATTCGCTCGTTTTCAAGGAACCGCCGATAGCGGAGGAATTAAAACTGCGAGATAAAACTGGAGATTGGTTTGACGATTCACAGGGGACAGAAAGGGTGAATGTTATCGTTCTTTGGCCGAGGAATGAATCGTATTTCATCGGACTTTAGTGTGACACGAGCTGTCCTTCGTGGACAAGCCACGAAGCATTGACGAGGAGAGCCCATAACGCTGCCTCGGACGTCATCGTTGTTGTTGATTATACGTTGTGTAAAATCGCGATGACGCGACGGCAGCTCGTGTACGCACACCTGTAGGAAACCTTAATGATCCTAACGAGTTACCTTTGCTGCCGTAGACACGGCAAACGATGTTAATCACGGTCACGCTCGCCTATGAAGCCTCTCTCGCGAGGAACAATGGGCCACTGGTGGCCGTGATTCCATAACGTTACACTCGATGCACAGGCTGCAGAAAAAGCAAGTGTGAACAGCATTATGAGTGATTCTACACCTCTGCATCTATGAAGATTCGTCGATAAGATTCTTGCAAAAACCTTGACCTCGAAATTCAAGGTCGAACTTTTTTATCAACGGTACTGTTGCGTTCTCGTCGAGAGGAGAAAGCGTCTTAACCCTTTGCACTTGACAGGCCCCTCTCAGGCATTTGATTTAATACAATAATTTGTAATAGGCATTTTTTAACTAATTTTATAATAGTGCTCGTGTGAACATAGTGAAATAGATAATGTTGGAGATTATTAAAGAAATAACCACAAAAGAACTCATTCAATATTTAAATTAATATTTTAAAGTTGCTGTTTGCATATAATAAAATTATCTACGAATCCAAAGGGTTGAAAAGACTAACCTCGATCGTTTTCTCGGAAAAAGACCACGAAGAAAATATTTGAAAATCAGCAAATACTACAACAAAACTTTTTGCAATACTTCGAGGTTCAGAATCGGAAGCAGCGAAAAAGAGCGAAGGTAATTGTTCGACTTGCATCTGGCCAGCGATGGTTGACGAAGACAAACGCTTTTATTCGCTTCCGAAAAAGTATGCCCCTAAAAGTTCAGCCTACCGATGCCGATTTCTTCACGTTCATCGAACCGCGAACGGAAAGGGTTAGAAGAGAAGAAGAATGTCGGTCCGCGTTGCAGGTTTCGTACGGGCCCGCAAAAACTTGAAGACCTTTGGTTCCTCTTGTCTCGGCACCGTTTGCGACCCGTTCTCTCGCTTGGCAACTCGTCGTTCTTCTTTCGACGCCATCCCTGGATCAGACCCGTGAGTTTCACTTGTTATATCGCTCTTCTCACGATTTCTTCCTTGCAATCTATGCATATGTAGCCTTCGTCACTTCTG